CTAAGGAATTAGTTTTATCAGAAACTCTAGATACTTTCAAGAGTGAACTCAAGAATTTTATTAAGTAATATTTTATTATTGATTGGTTGAGATAGTTGTAGTTAGGTTTTTTGAATTCGTATTTTGTATTGTTATAGTTGGTGCGATAACCGTCCGATTTTTACCGACTTAATAAAATGTAGATGTAGAATCGGATAAATCAAATGCATCTGATTGGTTAATTGGATAAATCAAATGCATCTGATTGGTTAATCGGATAAATCAAATGCATCTGATTGGTTAATCGGATAAATCAAACGCATCTAATTGGTTAATAATGGCAGGTTAATAGTCGCTGAATGGTAGCGGTAGTCAAATCTGAACCCTCTATAATACCGAAGTTAGGGCAGACAGTACATAGGGCCGGATAGCGCTATGCTTGAAAAGTAATAAAACTACGTATATGGACCATGGAATTATTAAAGGAAACTTTAATTTCTATATATATGAAAGCTTTATCTGAAAAAAATCACTAGCTGGTGAATTGAACCAACTGCCTTTCGTACAACTGCCTCCTGGATACTTAAATTCGTACATAAAATGGATTAAAGCAACCTATTGTGGTGACTCTGGTGACTCCATAGATTGTAATATCACAAACCATAAGATAAATGAAAATACTGTTTACAATAATCATATATAGCATAATCATTAATGTATTTTGTAACTGAAAACCAACGAGTCAAATTGTCAAAGTCACAAAAACGTACTTGAGGAAATTCCTTAGTCCGAATATTTAAGTTAAATTTTAACCAAATTAAGCACAAATCAAGTTTTGAACGACTGTTTAGTGGGCAGTCAGTTGAATAATATAAGAAATCTTAAACTTAAAGCCAAATGCTTCCGTGTTGAATAGCCGAAAAACTGCTTTTTGCTTATCGGAATGATAGTATAGGAATTAACAGTACACAATTATAACACTCTACTTCTCAAGAATTAATCTCTACTGCATGGATGTCGCTTATTTATGACTTCGAAGATACTAATTATGTTATCAGTGGAATGCGAGATATTTTTGAAAAGTTTGTTCAGTTCTTATTTTATACCGACAGCAAAAAAGATCCTTTGTAGTATTGTCGACATGAGAACAGCATGTTGCCACGAAGCTATGGTTCGCTGAAGTCAAAGAATTCCATCACATAATTATAACGCAGGCGATATTTAGAAGGCATAGAAATATTTTATATCAGTGTGCGAAAGTCTGTCTCAATTAAAGTTAAGATGTCTGCAATCGTGAGTGGCGTATTAAATTCCACCATCGGTTTGTTGTGCAGTAAACTACAAGATTACACTGCAGAGAAACTGGACGAAGGCGACGTAAACAATCAACAATGCAAACAGATCATTGTTCGAGAACTCGATGATATTAAATCGAAGCTCGACGGGTTGTCCAGAAAGGACCTACGTGCCAGCCTCTGCTTTTTCAAAGAAGGTGTTACTAGATTGTATGCTTCTCTAGAAATATCTGGTGAATCTCGTGATGGCTCCAGCACCTCACAAGCATGCGTAGAAGATCAATCTGAAGTCGAGGGTGTCACGCAAGCTGAACGCGATGCCATTCAAAGGGTTTCTGAACTTTCTGATCTCATTGGGAACCTAAAAATCGCATCACAGGATCGCTACAAATCAGCCAAGGAGTCTTTAAAGGAAGCGAAAAGACTAGCAACCAAAGCATTTAACAACATAGCGCTGAGTAGTGAAGATAGATTAATGGCAAGCAAACTTCGTATTGCCAGCAGAATCCTCGAATGCCTAGACGATCCAGAAGCAGCCGTTCAAGATTGCTTACTCTACCTGAAAGAGCTGCAGGATTTACCAGCAGTGCAAGCGATGTTTTCTGTATGGCTAGATTCTAATAAAGGGATTACATCCCGCTTACGAGCTCGCTTCAACCAAAGGAAAAGGAATGTCATCGTAAATTCTATACAAATGATCAACGCCTTATTGATAGATCTGGCTATGAAATTTACAAACATAAGCATGGGTTGTTTAAACTGGCCTACGATAAAGATTGGTAAAGAACGTTATCACCCAGTTTTGCACAACAACACAGTTTTGCACAACGCAGTTTTACAGCAAAACGACAAGCAATTTCCTTGGATCCGGAAGCTTCCGTTGCGTATTGATGACGACTGTTTCGCACTCACTGGTAAAGGAGAAATGCTATCAAAATCTCAAGACGGTCTTAAGCTCACAAGAAGAAACGGTGAATGCGAGTTGTTTTGTACCATTCCCTCAGAAAATGATGGAGATATCCTGAACAAAATACGCTGTCTTGCTGTCGATGAACATGATAACGTACACACCGTCATTGAAATCCCGTCCTGCTACGAAAATGTTCCAACGAAATACAAATTATTAACCTTTGATGCGAATGGGAACATAAATGCGGACAGATCACTTGATATTATCGAAGAAAGCAAATATTCGCTAGGAATGAGTGTGACGAAAGAAGGTATGATTGTTATCTACTGTGATGATAGCACAACCATATACATCTGCGACAGCACGAACGCCAAGACGGACTACGAATTTCCACTGCCCTGGAAAAATGTAAATCTCGATGACATAAACGAATTTAGCTTTACTGTTTCTAATAAAAATGAAATCATTTGCACTTTTTTCAAAGATAAAAACCTAAACTGTTTTTACATGTACATCATTACAATGGATGGTAAGCTGAAACGTGCAGTGCAAGTACCTGCCAAACATTCAGAACATAGCAAAATGAGTGTCGTCTTTAATCACGTCAACGAAACTATTCTTGTCAGTTTGGACAAAGATTACGATGACAGTGATGACAATGATAGTGATGATGACAACGATCGTTCTACTAAAATTGATTTTCGTAAACAGTACCATACTACTATCTACAGTTTCTCAAACACTGGTGAACTGCTCCATCAGTTTAATATTCTGAATTGGTGTCCACGGCTAATATCACATCCAAATGGACCTATCGCTCTGGTTGACCACATTGGCAATAAAGTATTTATGGTCCAAATGTAATAATACACTGTTGGTACGTTTTGGCCTTAGTTAACTACATATGTTCATATATAATGTAGCTAGTGTTCGTGTACAAAACTCCGAATATGAACATTTTATTTAATTCTAGTTTTCGACTATGTTTTATTCACCTGCACGAGGTTACATTTCAAGCACTTCAGCTATACTTTAATCTTCAGCAATAAATAGCATTGAAATATAGTCCTCGTGATGTCTTGAGCATAGAATGATCATATTTGGAGTTACCATTGTTTTGTATCTTGTAAAATAACTCGGTGGTTCAGTAATGCTTTGTTATACCATGACTTTATAGCATGTAGAACTTTATCTATATTGCAAAATTTGATTGAACTACTTTTTATAATATTTTACATTTGAAACAGTAAATAAGCTGTAGTCTTAGTATGGGCAAACTAGTGGAACACTATTGCCAGAAAAAATGTAGACTGTAATTACACTTGTAAATATTAAATAGAAATGACTGTGTGGTATGTGTGTACCTTTGTGGAGGGGGTAAGGGAGGGGGGAGGGGGTGTTGTGCAACTCCCACCTCTTGCTAAAATTGTCGGTAAAATTGGAAAATGGAAGACTGATCGGTAAGGGAGTCAGTAAAATGTTTATACAGCATCTTTATCAAGTACTTATGCTGCTGTTTCAGTTGAATTTACAAATATTTTACAATAAAGAATTTTAGTCAAAAAGAATTTTAGTCAGCTAAATGTCTGTTCGGTAAACGTAACAAGCTCACTGTATTTGCAATATTGATATTTCAATTCTACATTGTACTTGCTCCAGATCCAGTAAGGGCAGCTACTTATTGATTCAGTGTTACCACAGGAGGAAACCTAAAGTTAAACTAACTTTATTTGCACTAAATATCTTTATCAGTTCTAAAATATTCTCCATATAGTTCTTCCAATAAGGAGAATAATGGCTTGCAAGAAGGTTTCCACAACAATATCCTACTCACCATGCAGGGTTTTGATACATTCAATTCCTTTAAAATCCCATAATCTAATAGTTAAATCTGCAGAACATGACGCGAGAAAATTTCCTGTGTGATCAAATGCTAGATCTTGTACTGCATCCGTATGCCCTTTTAAAGTTCTCTCAAAGTCACCAGTTTCATAGTCCCATACTTTTATTGTGGCATCCTCTGATGATGATACCATTACACTACAGAAAGAAGATGGTTATTTGGTGGTTATTTTATGGTGAAAATCATGGTGAAAATCTTGGTAGTAATGGTAGTTGTGATAGTATATTTAATGGTGATGGTGATAAAATATTGATGGTGATAATTACGATGGTGGTTGCGACAGTGAGAATTGATAATTGCGATGATGGTTGTGATAGTCATAGTGATGGTGAGAGTGATGGTTGTGATAGTGAAGGTGGTGATGATGGTTGTGATAGTCATAGTGATGGTGATAGTGATGGTGGTGATGATGGTTGTGATAGTCATAGTGATGGTGAGAGTGATGGTTGTGATAGTGATGGTGGTGATGATGGTTGTGATAGTCATAGTGATGGTGAGAGTGATGGTTGTGATAGTGATGGTGGTGGTTGTGATAGTGGTGATGGTGAGAGTGATGGTTGTGATAGTGATGGTGGTGATGATGGTTGTGATAGTCATAGTGATGGTGAGAGTGATGGTTGTGATAGTGAAGGTGGTGATGATGGTTGTGATAGTCATAGTGATGGTGAGAGTGATGGTTGTGATAGTGATGGTGGTGGTTGTGATAGTCATAGTGATGGTGAGAGTGATGGTTGTGATAGTGAAGGTGGTGATGATGGTTGTGATAGTCATAGTGATGGTGAGAATGATGGTTGTGACAGGCGAAAATGGTGATGATGGTTGTGATAGTGGTGATGATGGTGGTGATGATGGTTGCGAATGTGATGATGGTTGCGATGATGGTTGTGATAGTGATAGTAATAATGATGGTGATCATGATGGTTGTGATGTCCGTGAAAGTGATGATGGTTATAGCAGTATGGTGGTGATGGACCTACGGTTGTGGTGATAATAGTGGTAATGATGATGATGGTACTTGTTGAATAAAAAACGAAGTTAAGGCCGGCCGTACATAGGTCGGATAGCGCTCTATGCTTGAAAAGTGATAAAATTACGTACATATATAGACCACGCAATTATTAAACGGAAACTTTAATTTTTATATACGAAAGTTTGACCTGGGGTTTACCAGTCAACGGCGAATTTTAAGAAAGCTTGAAAAAACCACTATCCGGTGAATTGAGTTAATCGCCTTTCGTACAACTGCCCCCCTCCATGGATACTTAAATTCGTTAATAAAATGGACTAAAGCAACCTATTGTGGTGACTCTGGTGACTCAATAGATTGTAATACCGGGTGGCCCAAAAAAAAGTACTCCTGTTTGATTCGTAATAACATCTAAACAAGTATAGCTTTTAAAGAGAAATAACTTGCATCAAATAGAGGAAGGACTAACTTAGACTTTGATATATTACAGTTGTATTTCACTTAAAAATTCACGGAGATATTAATCTTTAAATTCGGGAGGATATTTCTGGATGTGTCTGAAATATGCAAAAATCGGCGTATCAAATATTAATCAAGATTTGCCCGACTGAAACATGCACTATTACCAGTAAATAAATGACACTTGACAAATTGTTTATTATGAAACAAAGTATTATTATATCTACAAAATACAAGCAAGATTCATTCGTCCGAAATTCGCGTGTGTTCCTAGCACGAATACGTTTCCTTATTTCATGAGACCACTGCATCGCGAAGGATCGTCATTGGATCGTTCGTAGTTCTGAATTAGGGCATGCTGTCACAACGGAATTGTGAAGCTCTTCTAACTTCTGCAACGTTCTGAAATCTTGGTAAGAACACCCAAACTCTTTTGCCGTTTCTTAATCTTGGCAAGTTCATGGAGTAAACTGAGAATTATATGAAACACAATCAAACCATACAACTCCATAAGACATAACAATTAAGCAACTCCCCAGAGACATGCAACATTTTTGGAACAAAACGTAACAAAATAGTAGCGTTGATACGGTGATGTGTATTTGCAAAAAGCAATATTATTTCCTTCAATAAAGAATATTCCGATCCTGCTCTAACCGAGAAATAATCTACTCAGTCTGTTTGAACCCATTAAAAACATAAAAAAATTAGGCTATTTAAGAATACGAAAAATTTAAGCGCCTGCCTTCCATGGTCAGTCTTTCATGTACATTTAAGTTTGCAAAGACCTAATATTAAATACTTGCATAATTTCGAACGTTCATATTTCAGGAAACAATGAGCTAAGACTTACATGTAAGATGTCTAAATCTACGCCATATCCCTTACAAACCTTAACGATAATTCGCTGAAATACAAGTTAGCCTAATATGTCATTAAGCAAACAAACGCTGGAGTTAATATTTGATATGCCGATTTTCGCTAATTTTAGACACATTCCAAAATATGCTCCCCATTTTTAACATTAATATATCCGTGAATTTTTAAGTTAAATACAACTGTAATATATCAAAATCTAAGTTAGTCCTTCCTCTATTTAATGCAAGTTATTTCTCTTTAAAAACTTTACTTGTTTAGAAGTTATTACGAATCAAACAGGAGTACTTTTTTTTGGGCCACCCGGTATCACAAACCATAAAAGTACAAAATGAAAATACTGTTAACTGTTTACAATAATCATAATAATATAGCATAATCATTAATGTATTTTGTGACTGAAAAGCCCTGAGTTAAATTGTCAAAGTCACAAAAAACGTATTCGAGGAAAAGTACTCAGTCCAAGTATTTAAGTTAAATTTTAACCCACGGTTAACGTAAATCAAATTTTGAACAATTTGATCTCTATGGGCAGTCAGTTGAATAATATATGAAACATTAAACTTAAAGCCAAATGCTTCCGTGTTGAATACCCGGAAAACCGCTTTTTGCTTAATCGGAACGATCGTATACTAGGATAACAGTACACAATTATAACACTCTACTTCTCAAGAATTAATCTCTACTGGATGTCGCTTATTTCAGGACTTCGAAGATACTAGACTGATTATGTTATCAGTGGGGTGCGAAATGTTTTTGAAAAGCTTGTTCAGTTCTTATTTTACCGTCGGCTAACACACGAAGATCCTTTTGTAGCATTGTGGATATGAGAACAGCATGTTGCCATGAAGCTATGGTTCGCTGAAGTCAAAGTATTCCATCACATGATTATAACGCAAGCGATATTTAGAAGGAGTAGAAATATTTTATATCAGTGTGCGAAAGTCTGTTTCAAAGTTAAGATGTCTGCAATCGTGAGTGGTGTATTAAATTCCACCATCGGTTTATTGTGCAGTAAACTACGAGATTACACTGCAGAGAGATTGAACGAAAGTGACTTAAACGATGAAAAATGCAGACAGATCATTGTTCGAGAACTCGATGATATCAAATCGAAGCTCGACGGCTTGTCCAGAAAGGACCTACTTGCCAGCCTCAGCTTTTTCAAAGAAGGCGTTACTAGATTGTATTCTTCTCTAGAGATATCTGGTGAATCTTGTGATGGGCCCAGCACCTCACAAGCATACGTAGAAGACCAATCTGAAGTCGAAGGTGCAACAGCGATGATTCCAGTCACGCAAGCTGAACACGATATCGTACAAAGGGTTTCTGAACTTTCCGAACTGATTGGGAACTTAAAAATCGCATCACAGGATCGCTACAAATCAGCCAAGGAGTCTTTAAAGGAAGCAAAAAGGCTAGCAACCGAAGCATTTAACAACGCAGCGCTGAGTAGCGAAGATAGATTAATGGCAAGCAAACTTCGTATTGCCAGCAGAATCCTCGAATGCCTAGACGATCCAGAAGCAGCCGTTCGAGATTGCTTTCTCTACCTGAAAGAGCTTCATGATTTACCTGCAGTGCAAGCGATGTTTTCTGTATGGTACAATTCTGACAAAGGGATTACATCCCGCATACGAGCTCGCTTCAACAAAAAGAAAAGGGATGTCAACGTAGATTCGATACAAATGATCAACGCCTTATTGATAGATCTGGCTATGAAATTTACAAACATCAGCATGGGTTGTTTAAACTGGCCTACGATAAAGATTGGCAAGGTAATTTATCACCCAGTTTTGCACAACAACGCAGTTTTAAAAGAAATTGAAAAGAACGACATGCAATTTCCTTGGATCTGCAAGTTTCCTGTGGATATTGATTGTAGTCTTTACCATGGTTGCGCGCTCACTGGTAAAGGAGAAATACTATCAACATCTGAAGACGGTCTTAAGCTCACAAGAAGAAACGGTGAATGCGAGTTGTTTTGTACCATTCCCTCAGAAAACGATGGAGATATCCTGAACGAAATACGCTGTCTTGCTGTCGATGAACATGATAACGTATACACCGTCATTCAAATCCCGTCCTGCTCCGAAATTGTTCCAACGAAATACAAATTATTAACCTTTGATGCGAATGGGAACGTAAAAGCGGACAGATCACTTGATATTACTGAAGAAACAACGAGACGGCTAGAAATGAGTGTGACCAAAGAAGGTATGATTGTTATCTGCTGTGATGTGAGGAAAACCATGTATATCTGCGACAGCACGAACGTCAAGCCAGACTACAAATTTCCACTGCCCTGGAAAAATGTAAATCCCTATTACATTGACGAATTTACGTTTACTGTTTCTAATAAAAATGAAATCATTTGCACTTTTTTCAAAGATGAAATCATAAAATGTTTTTACATGTACATCATTACAATGGATGGTAAGCTGAAACGTGCAGTGCAAGTACCTGTTGTAAATTCAGATTATTACTGGCGGTTGAGTGTCGTCTTTAATCATGTCAACGAAACTATTCTTGTCAGTTTGGACAAAGATTACGATGACAGTGATGACAATGATAGTGATGATGACAACGATCTTTCTACTGACATTGATTTTCGTAAACAAGACAAAGATTACGATGACAGTGATGACAATGATAGTGATGATGACAACGATCTTTCTACTGACATTGATTTTCGTAAACAAGACCATACTATTATCTACAGTTTCTCAAACAATGGTGAGCTGCTCCATCAGTTTAATATTCTGGGTTTGTATCAACAGCTGATATCACATCCAAATGGACCTATCGCTTTGGTCAACTCTTATAAAGCAGTTATGGTCCAAATGTAATAATACAGCGGGTATTAGTATGTTTTGGCCTTAGTTACCTATATATGTCCATATATGTAGCTAGTGTTCAAGTACAAAACTCCAAATATGAACATTTTATTTAATTCTAGTTTGCGACTATGTTTTATTCACCTGCATGAGGTTACATTTCAATCATTTCGGCTATACTTCAATCTTCAGCAATAAATAGCATTGAAATATAGTCCTCACGATGTCTTAAGCATAGAATGATCATATTTGGAGTTACCATTGTTTTATATCTTGTAATATTATACCTCACAATGAGCTTGTCCAATCAGAGAACTAAATTTGTACCACATGACCATGGTATTTTTCAGCGAATACTATGACCTAGGCAATTTGAACCCTGGGTGTTTTACCCGGGGCCATGGTATTCGACTTCGAATACCACGCTTGAGCGGGAAATTCGACTTTTTTAAATGTAAAGTTATCAAAAGTTGTGTTTTGAAATTAAAAGTTAATTGAATGGTATTTGTTTTCTACTTATTTTTGAAAGGTTCGGTATAATATACCATTTATAGACCTTTCACTCGGGGTATTCCACAAAAAATTACCCTGCGGGATGAAATATTCCTCGGGCTTCGCCCTCGGAATATTTCATCCCTCAGGGTAATTTTTTGTGGAATACCCCTCGTTTCAGGTCTATAACTGATAAAAGTAACCCAGTGGTTCAGTAATGCTTTGTTATCATAGATATCTCATATACCATGACTTTATAGTAACAGAACTGGATCAGACTATCAGTCTTGCAAAATTTATTTGAACTACTTTTTATAATATTTTATATTTTGAAGCAGTAAATAAGCTGCTGCCTTAGTGTGGGCAGATATGTGGAACATTATTGCCAGAAAAAATATAGACTGTAATTACACTTGTAAACATTAAATAAAATTGACTGTGTAGTAGGGGCGTACCTTTGTGGAGGGGGTAGGGGGTGTTGTGCAACCCCCACCTCTTGCTAAAATTATTGGTAAAATCGGAAAATGGAAGACTGATTGGCAAAGTAAGGCAAGACTTTTTCTATTTATTGGTTTACAGATTTTACTTGAAAAAAAAATAGGTCAGTAGGTCAGAATTTTTTTTTAAAAAACATTGTTTTTCAAGATTGTCACAACGATAACATGAGCCAGTAGTACTTAGAGTCAAAGTTTACTTGACTTCATGTCAGAACCCCAAATTAACTAAAATCGTAAAGTTGTTGACATCCAATTTTGTTTTATTTTTCACTTTCTGAATATTTACGGTCGGCGGACCCGTAAAGCAATGAATAAAAAAGTCTTGCCTAAGGATGAGGTTATCTATTTAAATTTTTCAACTTAGACCTCAAAGGGAGGAATAAGTGAAGCAAGCTAGACCATTTCATTGGTAAAAATGGGGTGTCAACCCCCCCCCCCCACCTTGAAATAACCAAGGAACGCCACTGGTTTTAAGACAGGAATAAATTACATGTACATCATTTTAGATCTGCGTGAAAAATGATGGTATATAATCATACAGTATATAATGTGCACAATCAAATTAAAGCAATAGAGATATTATTTTTTGTAAAATCAATATTTTTCCAATGGCAAGTGCAACCTCGTACCCTGGTACTGTAGATGCTGGTCACATAATTTGCAGATTTCTAATTAACAATATTGGACTCTTTTACAACAATCATACAAAAAGCAAATTATAAATTGAACTATAAAAATTATCCAAATATTTATTGACCTCATCTTGGATTGCTAATTAAAAATCTGCTAGATTTTAGAAGATCATGTGACCAGTGTCTTTTTTCCCCATGCCAAAAGGAATGATCCGGGGTACGAGGTTGTGGCAAGTGCATTCAACAATTGATCTAGCAAAGTAGATTTGATGAAGTGGCTACAATTTGATTTTTTCTGTGTTGGTGTTATACAGTATGTACTCAGGTGAATATGATGTTTGTGATGTTACTCTGAGTGTATATATCCAATTTGATTTTGTGAGCAACAAAAGCCCTCATACATATAAGTGCTATACTTAAATCACCCTAAATTTGAACAGCTAAAAGTTGACTTCAAAATACAATTTACAGTTAGCAGTAAATGCCAATCTTAAGACCTTAATGTCTCTAATACAGTAATAGATAATGTCCCCTTGGACACTGCTAAAATTTTTAAACCCTTAGTAGATCCCATATATAGCATACTGGTGGGAAGCACTGATGATAAACCAATAATGACGATGCCATTGATGTATGGTACAGTAGTGATTTTAAATATTTATGGTTGTGATGGTGATAATTTTGATGACCATGATAATTGTGATGACCATGATAATCGTGATGACCATGATAACTGTGATAGTAGTGAGGGTGATAGTTATTTCTTTCTGGTTCATAAAGAGTTATGGACCAGAAAGAAATAACTATCACCATCACTACCATCATCACCAGATCACAACCATCATAGAGTCTTCTGATTGGCTAAGAAAGGTCCATCAGTCACAACTTGGATGTGGTTAAAAATCATTTACCTCTGGCATTATTTCCATCAATATAAAACAAAGGGGCACATTCAAACAGCCAATCAAAACCACTTGCTGGGTTGGCGACATGGCTGCATGTTGCTGAGAGGCAGTGGCCGAAATCTCGGGGGGCTTCGTTGAAAATGACAAATTTTCGAAAAATTTGACCTATAAGAGGGCTAAAAACAGCCTTTTTGAGTGCAAATGGGGGGTTTGTCGGAAATTTGAAAGTTTTGTCGGAAAATTAGAAGATTTCGCCCCCACCGGAAAAAGTGAATTTCCGCCACTGCTGACAGGTCGGACTGCTCCTTTGCCAAGTTGGTAATAGAGACCATGTCATAACATGGCTGACATTGACTTCAGGCTGCACAGTTGCAATATCATAATTTTGTAGCTTTACTAACAAATTACTTTACAGTCAGATGTCTCATGAAATGCAACCTTCACATAAAAGCAAATCGTATATAGATCAGATACCTATACTGGAATAGTATGATTCTTTGCTTCCTTACCTTTTAAATAGAAATAACAAACTACTTTCATAGAAATTGACTGATCAAAATAATCAAATATTACTAATACACAGTATTAAGTGCTGTAAAACTGTCTTCTCAACTGTAAAACATAATAAAATTCACGAGAATATTATGTAAAATTCGCGACTACTTCGTGTATTAAGCACATGGCTCGACGTCTCAAGAGTCTGCAGTCACCACTGTTGTCAACAGCGGTAAAACAACTCCCAGTACTTCATTTTACAATACTTGTAACAACCGTATTTTCCGAACTTTCAAAAGCAATCCAAAATAAAACATACATTTGTAAATTGCGAGACAGAAATGAAGCAGAAATAAGAAAACCTACAGATACACTTTATTTATTATATACTGAAAATATTATTCAGCCAGCGCCTATATTTGAAGTCGATCCTATCGTCCAGCACCATGTTATTAGATTTGTAGTACTTAATGTGATATACAATATAGTTTGCTTATACGTTAAGTGTGTCAAGATACTGCGTGATGTGTGAGAATAAAATCCACCACGATGAAATCACTCATTTATTATCAAGCCTCACATGAAGTATGGTGCATTATACTTCATGTAAGCTAGTCGACAAAAAAGTCCAATCTAAAGTCTGGTGGAGAATTAAATAATCAAAATAAATAATAAAATAGTTGTACTACAGTAAAATCCCGTGTATAAGAACCTACTATTTTCCAGGTCAGGGGGAATAGGTTCTTACATATTTGATTAGAATATCAAGTTGTATTTCATGACTCTACACTTACATAACTAGTAATCAAAGCTGAATTGGTTCTGTTAAAAATGGGCGCCTAAATAGCAAGTTTCAGGCTGAGCTTCTTGTAATAATCTTGGTTCTGATATGCGAGATTTTACTGTACCGCAAATGTGAAATGGCAAACTAATAATACTTGTTTGTACTCAATCCACAACTTCGGACAACTCGCATGCTTTGTCACTATTGCTCCGGTTTATGAAAGCATAGAATAAAAAAATGTAACTAAGGATTAGAATTATCCAGCACGAGTTAATACCTCGAATGCATAATTCTAATAGTTAGTTAACTCAAATCTATTCTATGCTTTCTCAAACTGGAACAGAGTAACTAGGTATGCGAGTTATCTAATGCCTCTAACTGTTTCTTGTACTCCAGCTTTTGCAAACAACCACAATAGTAAGGGGACATGTAAGCTGTCTAATACATATATACTCAGTTTATTTTATGCTTTCGTAACTAGAACAATATTGACCAGGCATATGAGCTATTCAAAGTTGTCAATTGAAGTACAAGGTAAACACAGGGCTCAAAATAACGGCCGGTCAACGGACATTGACCGACCAAAAATGCCTCTTGACCGGTCACTTTTTTACTACCGATCATCTTGACCGGCCATATTTTCATGCCTTCCAATGTGATTGCTGTGTCTTGAATTAAAAAATGAAACTATGATATTTTGTTTCACTGTTAGTGTAATCAATGACCGGTCAAAAACAGATTTTGACCGAGCTAAAATCAAGTTGACCGGAGACCTATCTCCCGTCATTTTGAGTCCTGAAGGTAAACAAGCGTTACTAACCCCTGTATTCTAAAAGCTCCGTCGCACTCACACTCAATGAGTCGGGGTTCAATCTGAATTTCCCTTGAGTGTCAATGCTATTTTTAAATAGTTGAAAAGTGAGTGGTCACTAACTACGGTCCGACACTAACCCTCCAGCTATTCAAAAACAGCAATGATACTCGAGAGAAGCTCAGATTGAACTTTCACTCATTGAGTGTGAGTGAGCTTTTAGAATACGGGCGTAATTCTTACAGCACGCAGTATCTTGATACTATTTCGCTAAACACTGTTTGATAATTTAATCTGTTCTCAGGGGGGAGGGGGGTAGTTCGTATAATGTTCCTATAGTTCTCTCATTCCCTCGCATTCATTTCCTACAGTTGGTTGACTCTCATTTAGGACGGCATGTCACAGCCGACATAGTAAATCTCTCCTCAATGCAACAGCACTTTGTGGTAGTTCATGCAATTGCGCTAACGACATTCCCAAATCCGAATAGATTGATCGACACTACCGGTGACCACGAACGGAGCAGTTTTGTGGAAGTCTAAAACGAAAAAGTGGTAGTACAGTGGTTGGTGCAGTGTATGATTGTGTGCCAAAGTGCTATCATAGCCTCGTACTAGCCAGGTCCAACCACCCCCTTTGGACTGGCAGGCAGAATTTGGTTGCGGGCAAAAAACAATACTATAGTGGCATGGGAGGGAAATCGTCTAAGTTTGGCTCTAGCAAACACGTGGCAAACACTCGGAGCAATAAGGACAAGCAATCACGATCCTGATAGTCCAGTTTAGGTTTCCTATACTTACAGTGGACAGAAAAGGGATTCTCATTACTAAATCGCTAGAGAGAACAGCTTAAAACTGATAAAGCAATCCAGTAGAAAGTTAGTTCAGTTAATTCGATAACCTTTTGGTACGCCGGTATTACCGTTTTGAACGTTTTTCACCCAAAATACACAAAATAAAAAATATATTCACTTATAATGAAAGGATTTTGCGTACCTACACTCGATATGACTAACAGTAGATGAAATTTGTCGATCGAAATATCGAGTGAGAATTTTATACATTTATTAGACGTCACCATGCGGCCCTGCGATGCAGCGCTCGAACCAACTGAGCTGCAGAGGCCAGTTCTAGAGCTCCAACCGCATAGCTCTATCTACAAGACCCATCTACAATCACTTGTATCGAAACCATTCTATCAACATACCTAGACAAGTTGCAAAATGTTCGTGAGCGACCAACGTCTTGGCACATCGTCTGTTTTTAAAGTCCCACATTCTTAACGTCTTGTCATCAGAACAACTCACAATATATTTCCCACCAGGATGAAATAATACGCCACGTACCCAGTTATCGTGACCCGTCTGAAGAATATCAAAATAATTAAATAATCGTATATGTGTATAGGCGCATCATGTGCCGCACATGTGGAATTTTTGGGATGTGTTCATCCCCCTCGCACACCATCCCCCCGCACCAAACGTGTTGCCCCTTCCTAGAAAAAAGCCCAACACTAACCAGTCTATACCATAGGAGGAAATAATATTTTTGTTTCTGGGATCCTATACGTTTTCGGTGCAACGTTTTCTACACTCCCGCCATTGCTGCAGTGTGTGTAGGTTGTGGTACTCTTAACCAGCGAGGTTTTCACCAGGAACAGGTTAAACAGTGGATGAGCTCAGTTTTCCATTTCAGACGGTTAGTAGGAAGAATGTCAACAGACAAGATACATATTGTACATGGTGTATAACTTACCAAAGTTAATATACAAACTCCACCACTAATATCCCATAATTTGATTGTTTTATCGCGAGACGCCGTGGCCAAAAATGGTCCAGGACTAGCACTCTTTTTACCACCCTGTAAAACAACACAACACGTTTCAGAAAACAAACAAATTAACAAAACCTTGAAAATCCTATTTCAGACAACTAGCAATCACCGACCTGGTATAAATGTAAGAGAGAATAAAAACAAGACTGAACAAACACAAGAACAAAGTTGATATTCAACTCAAAACTTTGGTTGATAGGGAAGCAACTACCTGAAAAATACAAGGAGAACCTCGACGTTTCTAGCTAAGGCCCTCAGTCGGAGGCCCTATTAACGTCGGAGGCCCTACTAACGTCGAAGGCCCTACTAACGTCGAAGGCCCTACTAACGTCGAAGGCCCTGCTAACGTCGAAGGCCCTACTAACGTCGAAGGCCCTACTGACTTTCCAACGAAAGTCTTCGCTCGAAACGTCGAAGTTCTCCTTGCATTTTTCGCTCGGCAGATCATTAATGAGGTATGGACTAATAGCGGCTGCTCAAGCGCCATTTGTAAGCTCAAAGTCTACCTCGGCCTGCTTCACGTCAGTCCGGTTGATCTATCTAATCATAATGTAAAACTTCTGTAATTCAGTGTATGCTGCCATGGAAGTTCAAATATACTATAAATTATTATAAATTATTCTCTGCTATTTAAAATTGTCAGCCGGTCCTGGATTTTTAAAATGTACACACAGAATATAGAACAATGGTAACCAAACATCTAAATTCTATATGCGAGTGAATTGGATTGCCACACTAAGCATTAGGGGTCAGTTGGATTCATAGAAAGTACTTTGACTAAATCGTCTTATAATTTCTATGGGTGTTTTATGATACTTTTATTAGTTTCCAGAATTGTGTGTCTGCTTATAGCTACTTTAAATAATCTCCATTCTCACCTCTATCGCAGCAGCTTCATTGACATGCGTACTTGCTGAGTCAGGTGCCCACGCTATATCTTCAACCACGTGATCATGTTCACGTAATTCACATTTACATTCCTTACTTGCGAACGACCACACACGTACTGTCTACATAGAAACATACACAATATGAACATTTAATTTGTGTTTCGATAACTGTCGATAGTGATATAAACTTCTGGATATCATCACACTCTTAAAGTTTTGATCGATTGAAGATGAGAGACTCGAGCAACTCTGGCTGCCGTTCTCATCAACTCATGCACAAAATTGAACTTTCTTTATGTATAAACATGTGAAGTTATTATCAGTGAGCTCCATTAAATCTCACTGCTTATTTTAAGTAATTATAGAATGCCAGTTAGCTACTGTATATGTTCATTTCCCAAACCAGTTGGACATGTTTTTACAAATAGCCAGTCCTGTGCGAGTTTCAGATTTTGAACCTAATTAAATATGGAAGTGAGATTCGCAATTGATTTGACCAGAGGCTCTTCCGCCATCTTGGCGTTCTTTTGCCTCTGCCTTTTGATCCAGGCCTCATAACAAAGTTGCAAGCAATTACAGACTTTTAACGTAGAAATTAAAAGCACCCACCTGATCATTCGAACAACTTGCTAATAAAGAACCTGTATAGAAAAAATAAACTATTTTACCCTGAGAATCAATTTGACAGCCCTATTAAACTCCAAAATTTACTTTGCAATCATATGTTACAAAACCTATTCTGACATTTTGATGCTAAAAATGGTTATTACTCAGGTAGGAATTGGTTGATTCTGGCGCGATTCTGGGTTGGCAAAACTTATGGTTGGAACTATGGACATCAGAAGAAACCACTGAACCCTGACGAAAATGTAGGTCATTTAAATAAAAGCGATTACCTGGAGCTGTATCGAAGAAAAATTAGCAAAATTTGACGGCTATAGTTAAATTGGATGCAGTCTATGTCTTCATTTAGTTTTTCCACAAAATGGTGGGAGTCAAACAATTACAGCACGTGATGTATTGTGACGTCCCTTGCAAGGGCTAAATACTCGTAAAACGTAACAAAAATTATATAGATGAGCACTTTACCGTCTGCACTAACTCTGACTCTTCGCACCCATTCTCGGTGACCTTGTAAAGTTTTAACACAGTAACTACAATTTCAACAAAGAGATCCAATCAACTTCATACGGTGAACTATACATTGAGCTATAAAGTTCTGAGTCCTGGCATGTGGATTACCCTAAAGTGATCAGATTCTGTACAGACTAAGGGGCTGATTACATGGAGAGTTTTCAGCCCGGACTGAGTTTCAGCCCGGTTAAACGAGCTGAAACTGCATCACGATTACATGAGCACTTTGAGCCCGGGCTGAGTTTAGTCAGTCTGAAATTTCATCCCGGGCTGAAAACTCTCCATGTAATCAGCCCCTAAATAGCTCATATCATGAATACCAACGCAGATGTTGGTGGAAATGCATGTATTGTGTATTTACGAAATATGACTGTACGACTCATCCAATTTTGCCCTTCATTACATTATACTACGAAGCTTCTTTAGAAACATTGCATTAAAAGGGTACTTGACACTGAGATGAATGATTATCACGGTTTCAATTTTACAGAAACATGTTGTTACAAAGTGTATAGACCATTTGTCAAATTTTCACTTTGATCTATCATTTAACCTTTCCCAAGGGGAAGTAGATGACTTTTCAGAGGAGGCGCAAAAAATCTCAGGAGAGGCGCATAACGATCTCTATGTTCGCTAATGAAAGAAGATAGCGGAGATGTATCACTCCAAAATCTCCGAGTGCACGTGATTTTTGGGAGTTTAGGTTTTGACTCTATATTTGACAAAATAAGAACCAGTTTTGAAATTTAAGTCTAAAACAGAGTTTAAAGGGAGCCCACATGAAAAAGTATTTTAACTATACCAGTCCATACACAGCGAACAGAACTACAGGATATTATACAAAACTTACCCCGTGGCTACTTCCCATATTTTTATGGTTTTATCTCTAGACGATGATACAATAAAATCCCCAGAGGGCATAAAACAAACAGAGGAAACATTGTGGTCATGACCTAAACAAAAATTCAAAATTATTACAAAAATCACATATTTGAAATAATGGTTAAAAGGCATCAGCTAAATGCCTGTTTGGTAAACGTAACAAGCTCACTGTATTTGCAATATAAATACTTCAATTCTACATTGTACTTGCTCCAGATCCAGTAAGGGCAGCTACTTATTGATTCAGTGTTACCACAGGAGGAAACCTAAACTTAAACTAACTTTATTTGCAGTAGATCTTTATCAGTTCTAAAATATTCTCCGTACAGTAGTTCTTCCAATAAAGGTCATCAAATGTTATTATATAGGAGGAAGACTAAAATTAACTAACTTTATTTACAGGAAGAAATGCTCTACCAGAAAAAACCTACATAGCTAATTGCATTTCAAACTAAAAGGATCCATAGTATACCCAGTTTTGAGAATAATGGCTTGGAAAGAAGGTTTCCACAACAACGTCCTACTCACCATGCAGGGTTTTGATACATTCAAATCCTTTAAAATCCCATAATCTAATAGTTAAATCTGCAGAACATGACGCGAGAAAATTTCCTGTGTGATCAAATGCTAGATCTTGTACTGCATCCGTATGCCCTTTTAGTGTTCTCTCAAAGTCGCCAGTTTCATAGTCCCATACTTTTATTGTGGCATCCTCTGATGATGATACCATTACACTACAGAAAGAAGGTTATTTGGTGGTTATTTTATGGTGAAAATCATGGCGAAAATCTTGGTAGTAATAGTAGTTGTGATAGTATATTTAATGGTGATAGTGATAAAATATTGATGGTGATAATTACGATGGTGGTTGCGATGATGGTAAGAATTGATAATTACGATGGTAGTTGTGATAGTCATAGTGATGGTGAGAATTATGGTTGTGAGATGCGAAGGTGGTGATGATGGTTTTGATAGTGATGGTGGTGATGATGGCTGTGATAGTGATGGTGATCATGATGGTTGTGAGTCCGTTGGTTATGGTAGTGATGATGATGGTTGTAACGCTTATGGTGATAATAGTGGTAATGATGATGATGATGGTACTTACTACTTGTTGAATAATACCAAAGTTAGGGTCGACCGTACACAGGCCGGATAGCGCTATGCTTCAAAAGTGACAAAAATTATCATGGGGATTAACAGTACACGTTTATAATACTGTACGTCGCAAGAATTACAATCTCTACTGGATGTCGCTCATTTGATGATTTCAATTTAATTATGGTTTATTTGTCAAATAACGAGCGTCGGAAATGACGTTCGCAGACTATGAACTGTTAATTAAGCTATGTACAAAATAAATACAAACAATGTTAGGAGAAGAGACCTCACGAAGCTAAAGCTTTTACTAGACTAATTGAGTTAATAGATGATATGAATGCATATTCCAGTAACAGCCAATGAACAAAGATTCTTTTGTGGCATTGCCGACACGAGAACAGGATGTCGACATAAAGCTATATATAGTTGGCGGAAGTAGAATACACTTAAGGCTGATTTCCACTGTTGCGTTTTTCATACGTACGTATACACACGTAAAACTTTAAATCCGTTTAAATGTTACTTATCAAATAATTAAATAAATAAAGCAACAGAATTTAGTGTTCCGCAAGTTTTAGTATGCATTTGTGAACTTATTTATAAAATATATAAAAAATAGAACGATTCAAAGTTTTACGTGCATGTACGTGCGTACGAAAAACGCAACACAGTGGAAATCAGCCTTAACAGCCGACATCTAGTTTGTTGAAATTGGTAAAGTGATCCGTGACGTTTTTTATGTTTAGATGGATATAGGTAATGCGAAGTATCGATGTTAAAACGGCTATAAATACTCCCAAGGGTTGCTAAAACAACTTACTGTAATGTCAGTGCGGAATATAAGCGTATCCTCGCCTTGTATTTGGCTGTAAAGCATACGACAACCACATGCATTGTCTATATATTGTTGGTGAGCATAAACGGAACTGCGCATTTGGCTATTCTGGGTAATTGGCATGCATGTACACATCCTGGAAATTTAGAAACGCTCCCAAAATTTAAAATCCTAGCTTAGACTCTGACCACTTTTCGCGTGCTTGTTCGATTACATACGCCAGGATACGAATCGTACACAACGAATAAGAGCGTGTAAACGTACCTGTACGAAAGTTGTATCTGGCGACTCCGTAAATTGTAATATCAAAAATAATGATATTAGAAACAGTCCCAAAGTCAACATGTCAAAGTCACAAAAATGTATTTGAGGAAAACCACAAGTTAAATTTAACCACGGTTAGCGCAAATGAAGTTTTGAAAGGCGTAATCCCCATGGGCGCGGTTAGTTGAATAATACTTGATACTTAAGGCCAAATGTACGTTTTGAATAGCTACTTTAATAATTGGAAGTATGTATGGGAATTAACAGTACACGTTTATAATACTGCCGGATACCGGATGTCGCTCATTTTATGATTTCAATTCAATTCAATTATGGTTTGTTTGCCAAAATAATAAACTATTAAGAGTGAATGTCAGTAAAAATCGAACATATGAGACATTTCGCGGCCACGACTGAAAAATCGATTTTGCTCAAATTTTGCCCAGATATACCTTATTATATCGGAAAATGCACCATATATTTTTTTAGGTCAGATGCTTTTTTAACTTTGAGAAAATGCCGTTTTAACACGACCACCCTAAATCGCCATTTTTTCTGGGGAAATATGCGCTGATTTTACAGATAAATTTCACGACGACAACCGTTTCTAATCGATCTAAAACCCTAAAAATCTTGTTTTCGGTTATTCAAAGGA